GTCATTTTGGGGATTAAATGATATTAGGCAAGTAGCCCGCTTAGCCCTGTGCCTGGCACATTGGAGGTGTTTGATAGATATTAACTCTTTACATAGGACAGTGGAGAGGCTGGCTTGCCTGGGACAGGCTGTCTGGCTTCTAAATTAGTAAAGACGAGACTTCTTAGCAGAGGCACCGGGAAAGGAAAACAAGGAGGGCTGGGGGAGGAGCCCCATCAAGGATTTAAATGTGGTTTTTCTTCCTGCTGAGAGGGCTCCTGCACTCAATAAACCAGAATGACCCTAGCTGAACTTCCAGGCTTGGAAGTATAGTTAGTTTTTAAAAGGAGTTCTTCTATTTCAGGATCAATTGTTCAGCAGAACTGAAAAGCTTGCCCTCGGAAGAGGCTGAGTTCTAAAGCCTGCAGGGAAAACCATGAAAAGGGGGGATGTGCCATCTCTCTACGGGGAGCAGGAGACCCATACATGCTGTCGTCTGAGCACTGCCACTCTGCTGCCTGCTCGATTCTAAATTAACCAGAAACCTGAGAACCTGGAAGCTGAGCTCCAGCTAACATTATTTAAATGAACCAGCTGTTACATGAACTTTAAACCACATGTGTTTGGTGGTGGGGCTGCCCTGGGCCAAGAGACATCAGTACAGAGTTCCCAACTCACAAATGGATTGTGTTCCAAATGTGCATTTGGAAGGCTGTGGTTTGAAAGGCAGAATACACTTTCCCAAAGAAAAGATGTTATAAATGGTGATTAGGGCCACAGGCCAGCTCATAAAACTCCATTTAACCATGATATAGCTAAATACTCCACATTTTAGCCAAAAAAAAAAAAAAAAGTAGAAGTCAATAATGTTCAATACTAATAATTAAAGAGTGAGATAAACAATAAAGTTGAGTCTCTTTCATTTGTCTTGAGGACAATGATTAAGCAAAAGCAGATTTAATTACAGGAGAAAGTAAAGGTTACCCTGCAAGGGACTAGGAAACACTGACTAGAGTTAGGAACATAGGCAGTGGGCAATCAGATGAAATTGCATGATTTCTGCCAATTCTAAGGGGCCAATGTCTACACCTGAAGACTAACCTATCATCCAGAGGGAGCTGGGGGAACATAGGTTGAAGTGCTGGGTTGGGGAGTTAGCTTAATTCTCTCTAGGCAGCCACTCCATTTTTCAAGGTAGAGCCTCACTTTGGGGTCCCTCTCCTTTAAGGAATGATTGCCCCCATCAATTCCTCAGGCTACCTCTGACCCCAAGAATCGCTGAAAGGCAGAATTTTTGGTGCCTCTTTTAATACTGATTTTTGAGACCAGGTAAGCTGCTGATTACTCACAATGCCTGGAGGGTTTTAAACCTGACCCTGCATTTAGACTGAATCTGCTTTTACCAGCCTAGCACAGAGGAGAGCCCCAACAGGTGCCCAGACTCCGCCCGTCCATTTCCGTCCTCCACATGGCACACTGCATCTGGTTAGACACCCTGAGCCGCCCGTCTTAGCTGTAGTAATAAGGGTGAAGCGTGGGTTCTATCCATCCATATGGAGAGGGTATGAGGAAGAGGAAAGGAGCACCAGGGGAAGAGAGACTGACTTGGAAAAGATCATTTATAAAGCAATGCAGAGGTCTTTTGCAAGATCATACCACCAGGTGGCACCATCAGCCTAAGGCAGTTTGGTTGGTCTCAGCTGAGAAGGGGGAAATGAAAAGGTGGCCAGTGAAAAAATCCTATGGGCAGAGGAGCCTGGTGGCTCCTCTGGGGTGGAAGAGTCCAACAGGACTGAACACGCCCACACACAGCGTGGGTGGAGGACTTCCCTGGCTCAATGATAGAGAACCCTCCTGCCAATGCAGGAGACCCAAGAAAGGCAGTTTCCATCCCTGGGTGAGGAAGACCCCCTGGAGGAGGAAATGACGACCCACTCCAGTATCCGTGCCTGGAAAATCCCACGGACAGAGAAGCGTGGGGGGATACAGTCTATGGGTTCACAAAGAGACAGACAGAACTGACCACACACACACAGAGTGGGTAAAAAGCTGAAGGGAGCCACTTTGCATTTGGTAATTTAACCTATACAAGGCATTCCTGTGAACCATACACTCTAGTTTAACTCATATACATAAATGCGATAGTTTTCTTTAAATTACAAAAGTATCTCATAACTTTATCTCTTCCAATTGGTTTACATCCTTTGACCATTTTCTATTAAAATATTTTTTAAAATTTATTTCTAACAGTGTTGTTTATTCTGTGCACTAATCTTTAGCAGCTAGATAAATGCACATATGGAAATTTTACATTTTAGTATAAGCTAATTTGTGAATCTTTTCCTTTATGGTTTGTTCTTTTCGAGTCTTGTGGGTTTGTTTGTTTTTTTTTTGAGTCTTTACACTGAGATGACAAAGATAATTTTTCAAATCATCTTAAAGTTTTGCTTTTAAACTATCTGCTTTGTCTTGATATGTGGTCACTTTTTCTCAGATGGATAAGCTAATGAGTAACTAGTCCATCCTTTCCCTGCTGATTCATCATTCCAGTGTGGCCACTTGGAGTCTTTCTACTCTGTTCCATGGCTCTGTTTGCCTCTTTCTACACCATATACCATATTTGTATAGCTAGTCTTGACTCCACTTTGTTTTCCAATCACCTTTATGATATTAGCTCATTTCCTCTACATCATTACACTCACCTCCACATTCTAGACCAGAAGATGACAGAAGATGGCAGACTAGGGCTAACAAGCTGGAGAGATTACAGCTAAACAACAGATTCCTCTTTTCCTCAGTGATGACAGAGTCAGCTGCCAACCATTTGATCTGGGAAACAACGGTGCAAATCACATAATTTGATCAGGTGAACAACTCCAGAGTGTTCACTGGCTGAGCGACAAGAGATTGGTTCTGGCCACCAGGAATTCGGCCACAGAGGGAACCCAGTAAGACAGGAGAATGAAAAAGAGTGAAAGTGTCACTCACTTAGTCATGTCCAACTCTTTGCGACCCCATGGACTGTAGCCCGCCAGGCTCCTCTGTGCATGGGATTCTCCAGGCAAGAATACTGGAGTGGGTTGCCATTCCCTTCTCCAGGGCATCTTCCCCACCCAGGGATCAAACTCAGGCCTCTTGCATTGCAGGCAGATTCTTTACCATCTGAGCCCCCAGGGAGGGTCCAATGACAGAATAAATCACAGCAAATCTGCCACTACCTGCCAGAGGATGAGAAACAAGACTTTTTGATTGTGGAGCTGAAGCCAGAAAGAAGATGAATGCTTTTGTGCTTACCTGTGTCACCAGTGAAATAGGTGGGTATTTCTGGTGTCAATCAACCAGGGAAGAGAGTCTCACAGCAGACAGCCAAGACTTATGATAATGGGCCAGAATTCTATNAAAGAAGACATTACTTTGCCAACAAAGGTCCGACTGGTCAAGGCTATGGTTTTTCCAGTGGTCATGTATGGATGTGAGTTGGACTATAAAGAAAGCTGAGTGCCCAAGAATTGATGCTTTTGAACTGTGGTGTTGGAGAAGACTTTTGAGAGTCCGTTGGACTGCAAGGAGATCCAACCAGTCCATCCTAAAGGAGATCAGTCCTGGGTGTTCACTGGAAGGACTGATGCTGAAGCTGAAACTCCAGTACTTTGGCCACCTCATGCAAAGAGTTGACTCATTGGAAAAGACCCTGATGCTAGGAGGGATTGGGGGCAGGAGAAGGGGATGACAGAGGATGAGATGGTTGGATGGCATCAGCGACTTGATGGACATGGGTTTGAGTGAACTCCGAGAGTTGGTGATGGACAGGGAGGCCTGGCGTGCTGCGATTCATGGGGTCGCAAAGAGTCGGACACGACTGAGTGACTGAACTGGAATCATTCAGCTCTACCCACCGGCCTCTGTCTCTCCTCACCCAGGCCCTGCACAGACTCCCATATGCCACCAAGGCCCCTGCCACCTTTAGCTAGAACTACAGCAACAGGTTCCTGGTTTGTCCTGCATTGGGTCCTAGTTAAGCTCCCTTCCCCACCCTTGAAGCCAAAAGGCTGATCTAGAAACGTCACATTCTTACTACTCTAAAATGGTTTCCCATGCTCCTTGGGCTACAGCTCACACTGTTTAATATGAATTACATATTTGGGCTGGTTCCCCAGGACCTTCCTTGAGTGGTTGTGGGCCCCAGCCACGGAGTCAGTCAGTCTTCTCTGGGTCCAAACCCCCACCGCACTGCCTACTAGCTTTGAAAGCTGAGCAAACGCCTGCCCCTCCCTGTGTATAAATGTTCTCACCACCATTTACAGGCGACTTGATCCATCTGGAGATAACATCGCCTTCCTCAGGGGATGTTGTGAGGACTGCATGAGTTAACGCAGTAAAGTCCTCAGAAGAGGGCCTGGTGCCTAGTCACCTTACAGCCGTTTCAGCTGTTGCTTTTATTTCAGATTCTCCAGCGCACAAAGTTTTCTCCAGCCTCCAGGCCTTTGCATCACCGGGACCACACTACGAAGCAGCCTGCGGGTGTGTGCAGCCAGCACAGGAAACTTGTGAGGAGGGAGATTCTGAGGCCCCCGCCCAGACCCACCAGAAAGGGGGTCCAGCCCTGCCACAGTTTTAGCGACCCCTCCAGGGCCCTGAGGCGCCCAGGCTGGAGCGCTGACGCACTTCTGGCGGTCAACTGTGCTGCATGCTTGTCTCTCCCCCGGCTGGCTGTCGGTCCACAGTGGCCAGCACGGGTCCATAACTTGTGGTCAGTGTCCCTGGCAGCTCCTTGGACGTGCCATCACACAAAACCGGAGCCATCACCAGCTGGAATCGAGCACGTCCCATTTTGTAAGCCACACTATCCCCTCGGGTGTCCTCTCTTCGCCCTGAATGGACACCCAAGCGTCCCTAAAGCCTTGTGGAAGTATTCCGGCTGTCCCTGCGTGAGTCCAGGCTGCGAGCCTCACGCTGAGCGGAAAGGAGGGTCTCCGAGAAGGTGAAGGGGACAAAGACAAGTGGGGGGTCCTCCCGGGGGNGGAGGGGCCCCCCCAGCAAGAGCAGGTACGGGCGCGGGCGGGGGTCACGGGGTCGGGGTCCCGAGGCCCGCGCAGGGGCTGCCCGTTTCACACAGCGGTCTCCAAGGCCCCCTCCCGCCGCGCACCCGGGTGTGCACCCGCCCGGGATGGAGGGGCGAACGACCTTCTGGAAGATGCTGTGGCTTGTCCGCGCTCCTCCCCGCTCCGGGAGGCAGAGTTCCTCTCCGTTTCCCTCGGTCTCTCCTCTCCCTCTCCCCTTCCTCGCCTCCTTTTCCCCTCTCTCCGTCCTCCCCCGCTCCTTCCTCTGCCTCTCCCCCACCTCTGTCTCTTCTCGGATGAACCTTATCCTGCTCGGCCCTGCCCGCTCCCTGCCCTCCACACTCCGCGCTCGCTGGCAGAAGCCCCCACGGCCCAGTGAAGGCCGGGGCCTTGAGGCGGACAGCTGAGGGATGCTGGGGGTACATCAGGCTCCACTCTGTGGTTCTCACTCAGGAGGCTGGGGCAGAGCCACCTCGAGGGCTCTGGCCGTCGATGTGGGTTTCTACCCCCAGGGTCTCCAAGCCTCACCTATGGGGTAGACCCTGATCATCTGCAGTCTAACCAGCTCCCAGGGGATGCTGCTGCTTGAGCTCTGAGAATCACGGGGCTGCTTCGTCTTCCTCCTCCTGGTGGTGGCTTCAAACCCTATCATTCATTTATTTTTCATTCATCTGACAGCTCTTAGGCCACGACCAGGTACTGGGGACTGGGGGAGGGGAGGGAGTAACCATGCAATTAGAGGAGGGCCTTTCCTCTGGGAGTTCATATTCTGGAAGAGCAGTGAAAAAAGAACTCGGGGAGTAGGAAGAAATCACTGTCCCCAAAACAGGTTCAAGTGAAGCTATGTAAGATTTCTAAGAAGCAAGGGATTGCAATAGACAGCGGGGATGGGCAAGGCTAGTGAGGGGCATGGCATTGAGCTTGGCCTTGGAGAGTGGGTGAGAGCTGACCTTGTGATTACTAGGGAGGATAGGAGTTCCAGATGGAGGGAACAGCAGGACCAGCTTTTTGGAGGTGAAGAAAATTGTTGGGGAGTGGTGAGCATGGGGAAAGGAGCGAGGGACCGACACTCACTGTGACCCTGGTAGAAATTCAGAAGGCTTGTCTTAAAAGAAGGGAGAAAGATAAGGGAAAGAGCTAGGTACGCTTCTGGGAGTTAGTGTCCAAAATGAAGAAGCTCTAAGGAAACTGCATGTCCCTCAAGATGTCCAGTGTCTCAACTTCCTCCAATGGAGGGGCCTATCCTGCAGGGCTCCCTGGAGGAGGTGGGCCCAGGGCAGCCCAGAAGAGAGGCTAGGGGTGCAGGAAAAGCACTGGGGGACAAACAGTTCTGCTTGGTTGGAGCAGAGGGTGTGCTGAGGCAATAGAGGGAGGTGAGGCTGAAAAGGGACATGGAACTTCAGGAGGGACATTAACCATGGTGGCCAGGGGCAGGATAATACGGTCGGTGGGCTTTTATTATTCTTCCTATTATTAATGTTTTATACATCCAAAATTTAAAGAGTCAGATAATTCTGTAGACTTAAAACACAAAAACAGTAGCTCCACTCCACTCACCCTTCCCCACTTCTGATTTCCACTCCCCAGAGGCAATGATTTTCATCTTTTTCAGTCATTTTTTTCTGGTCTATGCTCCATATTTTCAACAATGCAGTCATATAACACTTCTTGATTTTTAGTAACTAGTGCTACTGAATCGAGTCCCTGCTATGGAGGATAAGAACTACACTCTCTCCCACCAACCTGTCCACCCCACCGCATGCCTGTGACTTGCTTTCTTCCAGCCTCTCACGTTAGTTACATCACACGTTAGCTAAGTCTTCATTCACTGCCTGTGTCAGGGGCTCTGAGCGAACGCTCGTCACTCACAGCCGGACACCACGTGTACACCCTGAGCTACTCTGCATCCTTTCAGTTCCATGCTCTGGTTCCTTCACTTTCTGTGCACCAGTCACCCATTCATCCCCAAACTCACTGCCAGACTGGGACTTATCCCCAAACTCGCTTGCCAGGCTCTTCTCAACATGCTGGAGCATGTCAGCGGATCTCTCCTGTAACTCCTGAGCTTGGATCCTTCGCATTTGACCTCTGCCTTCTCTCTGCAAAGGTTCTTCCTTCTGAACCACAATGTTCAGACTTCCTACTGATGTAATTTCATGTGGCTCTTTTGTCATCTACTCTACTGGGCACCTGGTGAGTCCTTTCCTTCGAAAACAGGTGTCTTTCAAGCCGTGGGAATTTTCCTGTATAATTTCTTTTAAATTTCTTGCCTTTAGCCATCTCTGCTCTCTTATTCTGGAAATCCTCTATTTGGATATGAGATTTCCTGGACAGATTCTCTAATTTTCGTATGTTTTCTTTCTTCTTTTCTACCTCCTTTGGGTTTGTTTTTTTTCCTTTCTGAAGCAGTTTCATTATTTATCTTCAAGATTTCCATTAGATTTTTTATTTTCAGTTCTCAAATTTTTCACTTCTAAGATTTTTGTTTGTTTCCATTTCCACAGCCTGGGGTCCTTGTCCTCATGGATGCAGACCCCGCTCCTGTCATCTTTGGCCGTCTGCCTGTATTTAAGGGGAGACACTAAAACACTGTTTGGAAGTTCTTGGAAGCAGGGAGAGCTTGTGGAAGGGTAGGCTGCACTGGAGGAGGACCTAGCTAGGCCTTTTCACAGGACGGATGATGCCGGTCCCTATCTGTAAGTCTTTTTTCTTGGCTTGGATGATATCGCACAGAGAAGTCCTCTTCTCCGTGCTGCCTGGCAGCCAGCATCCTCAGCCAAGTGGCAGGCCTGGAGCAAGAGTACAGATAAAGGCCCACAGGCCTTGTGTCTAAAGACGATAAGCCAAGCTGCTCTTACAGGCCTGCCTGCAGGTCCACCCAGGACCTGTGCCGCCTCCCTGACCCAGAGCCTGCGGTAGTCACCCCCTCCCCACCCTGAGTGTGGTAGCTATCTGCTGGGGCTGGACGGGCAGGTGTCCGTTTCCTGGAGCTGCCATAACAATAGGAGTTTACTGAAGGGATAAATTGGGAGATTGGGATTGGCTTATACACAGCACTATATACAAAATCAGTAACTAATAAGGACCTACTGTATAGCATAGGGAACTCCACATTCTGAAGAATAAATGAAAATGAAATGTTCGTCGCTCAGGCGTGTCTGACTCTGCGACCCCATGGGTTGTAGCACTCCAGGCTCCTCTTTCCATGGGATTCTCCAGGCAAGAATACTGGAGTGGGTTGCTGTTCTTTTCTCCAAGAGATCTTCCCAGCCTAGGGATCGAATCCAGGTCTTCTGCATTGCAGGCAGATTCTTTACCATCTGAGCCACCTGGAAAGCCCACATTCTGGGATAACCTATATGATAAAAGAATCTGAAAAAGAATATGTGTATGCATAACTGACTCACTTTGCCGTACACCTGAAACTAACACAACATTGTAAATCAACCCTAGTCCAATAAAAGTTAATTTTTTAAGTAGAGAAAATTTTTAAAATATTGATAGAAAAGAAAACAATAGAAACAGAAAAAAATAGGGCTTCCCTGACAGTCTAGTGGATAAGAATCCACCTGCCAATGCAGGGGACAGGGGTTCCATGCCTGGTCTGGGAAGATTCTGCATGCCCAGGAGCAACTAAGCCTTCTCGCCACAACTGCTGGAGCCAGGATGCCTGGAGCGCGTGTTCCGAGAAGCCAGTGTAAGGAGACGCCCATGCACAGTGGCAAAGAGCAGCCCTGCTCACCACGAGCCCGGAAGGCCCACGCTCAGCAGTGAATGCTAAGCACAGCCAAGAATAAATATGTCAATCTTTAAAAACAAGAAAAAAAAAATAGAACCTTACTCTTTCACAGTTCTGGGGGCCGGAAGTCTAACACCTGTGTGTAGGCAGGGCTATGGTTCCTCCAGAGACTCTAAGGCGAACCTTCCTTGCCTCTCCCAACTTCAGGGGACGCCAGGTGTCTTGGGCTTGTAGCTGCCTCCCTGCAGTCACTGCCTCCGTCTCAGCGTGGCTTCCATCTCCACGCCTGTGTGTCTCCAGGTGTCAGATCTCCCTTTGACTTTCTCTTCTATCGACTCCAGCCACTAGGTTCAGGGCCCACCCTAAATCCTGGATGATCCCATCCCCAAATCCTTAACTTAATCACATTGGTAAAGACTCTTTTTCCAAGTAAGATCACAGTCATAGGGACCAGAGATTAGAAATAGGCCATATCTTTGGGGCTTGGGTAGGGATGGACAGGTTCATCCCCCTGCAGAACAGAAACCAAGGCTAGGACTGGTCCCATCAGATGCCCCAAGGTCTCTTGATAGGAGGCAACCTCACCTCCTCACTCCTCAGACTCAGAACTTCCAGGCAGTTCATGGCTGCTTCCAGACTACCCACTGGATGGAGAGAGAGGCAGTGTGGTTATGACGGGGGCCTGGTCCACTGAGACACCAGCTTTGGATGGCCTGGGGTGGAGAGGGGAATGCAAATTAAAAACTCTATCTCTGATTTTCCAGGGCTCAGACTGTTCTTTATCCCTCCCCTTTGCCCCCAGTTCACCTGAGAGTATCAGCCCTACACCAGCCATCTTCAGTCAGTTTTTACTCAGGCTTTCAAAATATTTTCTCTATTTTTTCAGGATATTAGTTCCCCAACCAGGGATTGAACTGGCGCCCTCCAAAGTGAAAGCACAGAGTCCTAACCACTGGGCCCCCAGGGAATTCCCTCAAAATATACTTCCCTGACAGTCTAGTGGATAAGAATCCACCTGCCAATGCAGGGGACAGGGGTTCCATGCCTGGTCTGGGAAGATTCTGCATGCCCAGGAGCAACTAAGCCTTCTCGCCACAACTGCTGGAGCCAGGATGCCTGGAGCGCGTGTTCCGAGAAGCCAGTGTAAGGAGACGCCCATGCACAGTGGCAAAGAGCAGCCCTGCTCACCACGAGCCCGGAAGGCCCACGCTCAGCAGTGAATGCTAAGCACAGCCAAGAATAAATATGTCAATCTTTAAAAACAAGAAAAAAAAAATAGAACCTTACTCTTTCACAGTTCTGGGGGCCGGAAGTCTAACACCTGTGTGTAGGCAGGGCTATGGTTCCTCCAGAGACTCTAAGGCGAACCTTCCTTGCCTCTCCCAACTTCAGGGGACGCCAGGTGTCTTGGGCTTGTAGCTGCCTCCCTGCAGTCACTGCCTCCGTCTCAGCGTGGCTTCCATCTCCACGCCTGTGTGTCTCCAGGTGTCAGATCTCCCTTTGACTTTCTCTTCTATCGACTCCAGCCACTAGGTTCAGGGCCCACCCTAAATCCTGGATGATCCCATCCCCAAATCCTTAACTTAATCACATTGGTAAAGACTCTTTTTCCAAGTAAGATCACAGTCATAGGGACCAGAGATTAGAAATAGGCCATATCTTTGGGGCTTGGGTAGGGATGGACAGGTTCATCCCCCTGCAGAACAGAAACCAAGGCTAGGACTGGTCCCATCAGATGCCCCAAGGTCTCTTGATAGGAGGCAACCTCACCTCCTCACTCCTCAGACTCAGAACTTCCAGGCAGTTCATGGCTGCTTCCAGACTACCCACTGGATGGAGAGAGAGGCAGTGTGGTTATGACGGGGGCCTGGTCCACTGAGACACCAGCTTTGGATGGCCTGGGGTGGAGAGGGGAATGCAAATTAAAAACTCTATCTCTGATTTTCCAGGGCTCAGACTGTTCTTTATCCCTCCCCTTTGCCCCCAGTTCACCTGAGAGTATCAGCCCTACACCAGCCATCTTCAGTCAGTTTTTACTCAGGCTTTCAAAATATTTTCTCTATTTTTTCAGGATATTAGTTCCCCAACCAGGGATTGAACTGGCGCCCTCCAAAGTGAAAGCACAGAGTCCTAACCACTGGGCCCCCAGGGAATTCCCTCAAAATATCTTCTTGAGTTAGAAAAGAGGGGGGAAAAAGCCTTTGTGTTTCCAAATTTGAGATGCATGGGTGGTAGGGGGGAGGCTTCTAGAGCAAGGCAGTGCCCGTGGGGCCTGATGGAAGGCCAGGCTGGAATCTCCCCTGCAGACGAAGACTTTAAATGCTTCACCCCTCCCTGCCAGTGCCTCTGTCTCTGAGCCCCACGGAACCCCCCAGGGTGGGGTGGGGTGGAGAATGACACAAAGTCTCACACTGACTGAACCTTCTATTTTCAACACAGCTGCACCCACACTCCTAGAAGCGCTAGGTTCCCGCCTCCCCTCCGCCCTCCTGAGGTCTTCAGCATGGAATGTCTGCTTTCAGGAAGGCTTTTCCAAAGTTATCACCCGTGAGTTGAACCATCTTTGCGTAAATGAGCCATTTGTATTTCCTCTTTTATGAATTTCTTGTTCATGTGCTTTGCCCTTTACAAATGCTTTATCTCTTTTGGATTAAATTGTAAAAGCTCTTTTTCTATTCAGGTTAGTCACTTCTTGCCTTCACATATATTTTCTCCAGTTTATCTTTCAAGTACAGGTGATTTTAATCTATTTGATTTTTGTGTCCTCAGAATTCGTCGATATTTTACTTTACAGTTTCTGAGTTCCATGTCATACTTAGAAATGCCTTCTTCACTGAAGTATTATTAAAATGCTTAACTATTTCTTCTAGCACTTTTCAGGTTTTCCTTTTCACATTTAAATATTTGATCCTTTTGGAATCTATTTTGAAGCCGGGTGTGGATCCAGCTTTACATTTTTCTCAGATGACTAGCTAATGGTCTCAGCACCGCTTTTTCTTCATTAATTTTGTATTGGGGTACAGCCATTTCATAACAGTGTGATAATTTCAGGTGAACGGCAAAGGAGTTCAGCCATACATGATAAATATCACTCTCCCCCTAGTCCGCCTCCCATCCGGGCTGGCAGAGGGTATTGAGTAGAGCTCCATGTCTCAGCACCATTTATTGAACGACCCCTTTCTTTCTCACCGATCTGAAGTAGCTCACTTATCATTTGTAGCTAGGTCTGTTCCTAGACTCCGTCTTCTGTTCACTGGCTGTCTTCCTGCTCCTGGGCCCACGAGGCTATCAGGTAATTTCCGGGGCTATACTGTAGGTTTCAGTGGCTGACAGGCCACATCCCTAGTCTTCACTCATCTTCTGAATTTTCCTGGATATTCTTATGCTTATCCTTCAGGTGAATTTTTGTGTCATTTCAGTTTCCAAAATAAATCCTCTTAAGCCTCTGGATGGGCTTACATAATAACATACCACAAAAAAAAAAAATCTTTCAAAAAATAGATTCCACCCTAGGAAAAAAAAATTGTACCATAGGAAACTATTACTAGGAAAGAGATATCTCTGATTGTATCATCATCATAGTTTGCTTTTTCCCCAGGAATAAGAATGTTGTTTCAATATCACTTGATCTAAGGAAGTTCTTAATTGTATTTAGCAGAAATCTTTTCAGCTGCAATTTCCACTTCCTAAGCTTTCCTCCTCTTCAGTAGAACAATTTATCACACTTCATTTAAAATGACTTCAGAAACAGACTCACAGATATAGGGAACAAACTGATGGTTGTAGGGAGGGGCAGATTAGGGGTATGGATTAAGAGATACAAACTGCTATTATAAAATAGATAAGCAACAAGGCTATATTGTATAGCACAGGGAATTACAGCTATTATCTTGTAATAACTTTTATAGAGGATAATCTGTAAAATACTGAATCATTATGCTGTATACCTGAAACTAATATAATATGGTAAATCAACTATACTTCAGTAAAAAAAAAAAGACTTGGAATCTGGTGGGTAGTTACACATTTATACCCAGAGCTACATTACTTGTAAAAGTCAAAGGAAGCATATCTTCTCAACTAAAAACCCAATTCCCTGTTTTGAGCTAATATGAACAAAAAGCACTGTGAAGCCAAGGATCTTGAGCAGCGAAAAGGGGACCCATGGAGTCTTGGTTGCAACTTTTACTGAGATGACTGGCCCTTGGATGAAGCACCTTCTTAGAAAACTCTCATCTAGCGTCTTATTTACATTCGCAATATTGCAGTGAAGTGGACAAGAGCAGTTTTCACGTCAGTCTCCAGCCTCTGAGAAGGAAATGGAGACAGACACGGGTTGGTGATGTGCCTGGGTCACCCGGAGCTCCATCAGCTGTGTTCAGTACCCGTGCAAGGCTCATTCCCAAAGCAGAAGTCAGTCGAGTTGGCCACATCCCACTAAGGAGGGGACTTGGCGCTGCTCTTCCCTGAGGGCTGCCACTAAGGTTTTGCTCCTAGCAGGCAGCCTTGAGCCCAAGTGCCGCAACCTTCATTTGGATATCAGGGACCCAGGTAGGATCAGCCAGTGGCAGAGAGCCCCAGGGAAGCTGCAGGTGGTAGCTGCTGCCCCACCCACTTCCTCTCCACCATCACCCAGAAAGTCCTAAACCTGCCTAAACCTCAGCCAAGCTGTCTCCTGGAGCTTTCATCCCCCTTTTAAGGGGACCCCTCCAGTTTCTGACCAAGGAAGGCATACATGTCTTACGGAAACTCCTGACCTTGAATCAGAGGAACCCTAGCTGAACTATGGATAGTGTTGTTTCTTTCCATCTGTCAGAATTACTTCTCTCTCTCTCTCTCTCTCTCTCTCTCTCTCTCACACACACACACACACACACACACACACAGGAACTGTTTCTGCCATCTCAAGACAATGAGTCTGAGTAGGCTCAGGGAGTTGGTGATGGACAGGGAAGCCTGACATGCTGCGGTCCATGGGGTCGCCAAGAGTTGGACACAACTGAGCAACTGAACTGATTTCAAGAAAACAAAGGGGGAAAAAACCTGTTTAATGTCTGATTTGTGTAATAAAGGCTTTATTGGCCTTTTCTTCTTTGTCATCATTGGGGATTTTAGCTTTTGATGCTACTGGACTAGAGGTTAAGCTGTCTGTGTTCTCCATGAAAGTTGTACAATGTCTTTCCAAAGATTAGCCTTAGAAGCTTCAAATGACCCAATGTAGTGGATCACTCTGTAGGTCAGTCTCAGGCACTTTCCTGGGAACAGTCTCTAAGCTCTCCCACCCAGCCCACCGGCTGGGCCAGATTACCCCCTTCCCTGTGATCAGGGTTTAAGTTAAACGAACAGGAGGACACAACAATGCTCCAAACGAGAAGCTGGTCAGCTCTGACTCTAAATCCTTGAACTTGGAGAATGTCATCTCCAAGTTCTCACTGACATCGTTTAAGACACTAGCAAATCAAATGTTTTTCACAAGTTCTCCAATTCATAGATTACACCAGAAGCCAGGATGACACTGCCTGTTGGGAGGCCACTTCCTACAACTTTGACTGAATTGCCAAACAAAACCACCGGAATGGAGCCTCATTTGGTTTCCTGACCTTAGAGAGCAGAATCAAGTGTTTATTAATAGTGACCTGATTACTGTTTTGTTTGCGTGTATGTGTGTGTGTGTTTAGTTCTGTAATTAAATATTTTGTTAGAGCTTTCATTCTAAGTTATTACGGTACTAGGAAACATCAGCATTTTTCATGGTTTGAGTTTCTCATATAATGCTGTAAAGTGGAAGCTAAGGAAACAAGAAAATTTTGAGAAGGGATCTTCTTATGTTTTTCAGATCTCTCACACAAAGCTTTCTGCGGATGATGAGTGGAAGTAAGTGACTTGTATTTTTTTAATAGCTGGTATACTAAAAATTAGATTTCCATCTTAATAGTTTGAGAAATTAAATGCAGCCATCATTTAACTTATAAATTCCCCAGCATAGAAGGTGGGTTAGTAAAGCCATGTATGCACAATGATTGTATAGACCAAACTGCAGGGGTTTCATTTGCCTTCTACAATGGGTTCCATGCTGTTCCACGAATGTATATGTCCCTCATTATATGTCCTTATATGTCCTTGTCCTTTCAGGCACAAGATACATCTGGCTTTCCTTTTAGGCTATTTCTTCTGTGTTATGGTACCTACTCTGGGGCCATTGGACCCCTATGGGCACCAAATGAAATAAAATAAAACTGTTCCTCCTTTTTTTGCATTATGGTCACCGATTATGAATGTATTCCTAATCAAAATAGAAGATATCTGTTACATTCTACACTAGTTTATACTTTCCAAAGTACTACCACATAGGTTAACCATCTGAGATGCATTTTCACCCTATATTCACAAAATTAATGTTATAAAGTATATTTTGTTTGATATCATGCAAGTCCTATTTTAAACTGATGACAAACCCACTCTTCTATCTATGTATTACACAGAGTGTTAAATAGTTATTTTGGACCTGGAATGTAAAAACTATAACTAAGTGCTTGTACCCTTTTATTTTTTTCACTTCCCATTTCTTCAGAAGAATGAATGTATTTTTTAAAGAGCTTCTAGAAATCATTCTCGACTCCTAAGCTCAGCTTCCAGTACAGAGACCAATAGCCACATAATTTTATTCCGGTTGTTTACCTGATGTAGGCTTCAGCTTCTCCATTTGATCAATGAAGGGGTCTCAGCACATTTATGGTACCTCCCAGCAGTAACAGTCTCAGATTCTATCTAAGAAGATAGATTTTTGAGAAGTTTGAGAATAGTTGAGAAATTATTAATTATTCATGGAAATGCTGGGGGCACACGAGGTTCAACCAGTGCATTGCTTTAACAGCATAAGTTAGTAAGTCAATGGAGAAGGAAATGCACCCCACTCCAGTACTCTTGCCTGGAGAATCCCAGGGACAGGGGAGCCTGGTGGGCTGCAGTTCACAGGGTCGCACAGAGTCGGACACGACTGAAGCGACTTAGCATGCATGCATGCATTGGAGAAGGAAATGCCAACCCACTCCAGGGTTCTTGCCTGGAGAATCCCAGGGACGGAGGAGCCTGGTGGGCTGCCGTCTATGGGGTCACACAGAGTCGACACGACTGAAGTGACTTAGCAGCAGCAGCAGCAAGCAGAAATATTTAGGAGGCTCTGTGGGCTCATTTCTGCGCATTTTCCAGCAGGGGGCACCCCTGGGATTTGGATGGAGCCCTTGCTGAGGAAGCTGTGTAGAAATGTTGGGAGAGACCCAAACCCAGTAAGTGGCTTTAAAAGGTCACAGGATGTTACCCTAGAGTGCTTTCTGATCAGTGCCCTAACTAAATGCAAACTAAGAGATTTTGTGACTGATAGTGCCTCACTTGGGGTAGAAGATAATGCTAACCAATATTTATAAAGTAATTGTCAAGGTTCATATTAAATACTATCCCACTTTTACCTAATTCCTGAACCATTCTCTCTTCCTCTGGGCCAGTAGATCCCAATTTAGTCTGCACTTTAGAATCACAAGAGGAACTGTAAAAATTACTGATGCCTCTCTCGCATGCTGGAAATCTCTATGCGTTTGCTCAGGCTACCGTAGCAGATCACCCAGACTGGGTGCTAAAACAACAAAAATCTATTTTCTCACAGATCTAGAGGCTTCAAGTCCAAGATCCAGGGGCCGCAGGCTTCGTTTTTTCTGAAGCCTGTCTCCTTGGCTTCCGCCTGTGTATCCAGATGATCTTCCCTGGGGGAGTCTATGTCCTCACCTCCTCTTCTCATAAGGACACCAGTCATGTTGGTTAGGACCCGTCCTAATGACCCCATTTACCTTAATTACCTCTTTAAAGACCCTTTCTCCAAACACAGTCACATTCTGTGGTCCAGGGGTTAGCACTTCAGCTTGTGAATTATGAATTTTGAGGGAATCCAGTTCAGCCTAGAACACCGAGCAATGGTCACTTCATTTATCTGGGGTCCAGCCTGGACACTGATTGTTAAAAGCTTCTCGGTGATTTCCAGGTCACAGTCCAGGTCAAGCAGCTCTGCTCTAGATTCTCTTGGAGGCCACTTCTTCTGCAGGAGGTTAAACCAGGTGACATATTACTTCAGTGGTTTTGTCTACCACTGTATAAAATTAAAAGTCCAACTAAACACGAAAGCGTTTAGTCATCCTCTGAATGTTTGTGCCTAAGGTAATACTTAGGCCTCTTCTTCCTGCTTATAATGAAAATAATTTCTACAACTCAGAGGTTTTCCTAGCCCCACACGTAATATTCTCTCCATAGACACCATCTGCCAGATATCCTTTTACTTAAGAATATTAGAAATTACTTGGAATTGCCAGTATTTCATTGGAGGTTTTTTTTACTTTCAAAAATGGCAATTTCATATGATACAACCTAATAGTATTATTCTTCATAGGAAAGTCAAAGTGTTAGTTGCTCAGTCATGTCTGACCCTTTGTGACCCCATGGACTGTAGCCCACCAGACTCCTCTGTCCATGGGATTTTCCAGACAAGAATACTGGAGTGGGTTACCATTTATTTCTCCAGAGGATCTTCCCAACCCAGGTCTCGAACCTGGGTCTTCCACATTGCAGGCAGATTCTTTACCATCTGAACCGCCAGGGAAGACAGACACAAATAAAATATTCATACAGACACAAATAAAATATCATATATATGTGTTCTACAGTTATAGAGCACCTATCTGTAAGGTACAGAGAGATCATTATTTTAGAAGTGAAAATGAGGAAACTGAGGTGCAGAGAGAATAACTGACTTTCCCAAGGGGATGACGTGGCAGATGGGAGGTTGGGACCCAGGTCTTCAGAGCCCACCAATGAGCTTTCGTCCCCATTGATCACCTTGAAAGGACAAGGCTGAGGCCAAAAGCATGTGGGCAAGCTAAGGACAGAGGAGCTGGTTTCACTGACAGACTCAGGCTCCTCTTCTCTGCTGTCCTTCCCCCAAGCCCAGGGGGAAGGGGGGGACTGAGAACTTAGGAAAACTTTGTAATCAAAGCTTCGAAAACCCTGCGTTTGAAATTCCCAATGGCTTCTCATGAGCCCTGCCTGTTTTTCTTGTTTTGCTAACCGTCCGAGTTGAGGGCTTGTTCCGCTGACCTCCTTTGCCGGTTGCAGCCTGCAGCAGGAGAGGATGTACAGGCTGCACCGGGGACATGAGTCCATGCACCTGGAGATGATCGTGGTCTTCCTCTGCGCCCTGGTCGTCGCCCAGGTAGTGCTGGTGCGGTGGAGACAGAGGCACGGCCGCTCCTACAACGTGAGTCACCCCCCGGGCCGCTGCGAGCTTGCTCCGCTTCCCAACACATCCCTCCTTTGTTAGCACTTTGAAGGAAATGGTTTGGTTTGAGTCAGTGGCTCTCAGCCCCGTGCAGTTTTGCCCCCGGGAGACTCTGAGCAACATCTGGAAACGTTTGTGATTGTCACGCCTCAGCAGGAGGGAAGTGGGGAGGGGAGCAGCTACTGGCATGCAGTGGCAGAGGCCAGGGATGCCGCTCCACACGCACAGGACGGCTCCTCATGACAGAAACACCAATGGTGCCAAGGCCGGGAGACCCAGGCTTAAGTAAACCTCCTTTCCGTTGGGGCATGAACTATTTCTGCCAATGGCCCAAGACAGGAGGATTAGGAATGGCAGAAACAAAAGGCTGAGGCTGTCTAACTTGGCTTCATCAGCATTCAACGGTCTTGGCGTGGATGGTTTCTGTCCCCAGCGGGGCGTGGTAGAGCAGACTCTGAGCTGACCTTTTCCACAGGGAGCAGGATCCTGTTTCACAGACCCCTCTCACCCAGCACGTCCTCGGGAACCTCCCACCTCAGCCTCGGTCCTGGCCTGGGCTTGTGGGGCCTGAGCCAGCCGCTGCCATGCTGAGGGCAGTGCTGCTCACAGCTCCGGGCGCAGCAGCGTCATCGGGGGACCCGTTAAATGAGACTCCCAGGTCCCACCCCCAGAGTTCTTTCACTCCACGTAGGCCAAATAGTTTGCGCGTTGAACGAGTTCCCGAGTGGCGCAGAGTTACTGGTGCAGGGATGGCGCTCTGAACCGATGCAGACCTGAGATGGGCCGAGTGGGGAGACGCTGCACAGGAGAACGCCCCGCAGCTCACGCTCTCCGCGGCTCACGCTCTCCGCGGCTCACGCTCTCCGCGGCTCTGGGTCCCGGGCTGCTCGTTGCGTGAGAAAACTTGCCTGTGACAGATGAAGTGCTGGCTTAGACGAGTATTTTATTTTCTTCTCGCCCATCATAAAAATTATTTCCTACATAGAATGGGACTGAAAAGGATTCTTCTAAGTTTCCTCTAATATGTAAATCTAAGTTAATTTTGAGCATTCTGTTTAAAAAGGGGAATCTTGGGAGACTTTTGTTTGTTTTTTAAGCAGATGCATCCTTGTGCTGCCCTGTCACCACTGTCTTGTAAATTAAAATGAACACCTTCTGTATTCCACTTGGACCAATTTTCTTCAATGAAGGAGAGTAGGATCAAACCTCATTAGTTATTCTCTCTCATAGCAAAGAAAAAGCCCCTTAAATATATGGTTTCCTTATCTTCAAAATGGAAATACCTAGCATAGAATTCCTAGAGTCCTTAAAAAGAAACCTGGATTCTTCAGGAAAGGGTTTGTAGCCCTGTTCCATCCTTCCTTGATAACTGATAATTAGCTCCGAGTTTGTCTGAGTTCAGTTTCCACAGATGACACAGAAGCCTAAGGATGCCTTCAGTGGTCAAGCACAGATATGGTCTTGTGGTGGTCTCAAAGGAACTGTTCTGTGTTAGCACAAAGATACAGCTGGCCTCTAGAATATTCTCTACTTCTTTGCCCATCATAGTCCATCTACTGTTATTGCATGGCCCCAGAGGAACAGGTGGAGAGACCCTGTGTGTCTCTGATGACAGTCTTTGGCTCAAGGTAAGATCCGGCGTGTGAGGCTGACCATTCCCATGCCACTGCTTTGGCATCACCCCTTGCTGTGTGTACCTTCTTGGAGTTTCACTGCCAGAGCCGTCATCAGACCTCAGCCGTCTCAGGAGCTCTGGGTGACATCTGCAAATACTGGGGCTGGAAATGGTTCCCAGAGCGCCTGTAGCTGACTCCAGCACTGGTTTCCAGCTCTTTTACTGTGGTTTGCATGAACTGTAGCCAAAAACCTGGATCTAACGCCCTATTCAGGTCAACATCTTTGGTATGAAATTTGATGGACATGTTTCCATAAAACCTGACCTAAACAGCCTTATCATCCAAAAATAACCCAACTTTTTTAGTTCTGTGTTAGCACAAAGATACAGCTGACCTCTAGAATATTCTCTACTTCTTTGCCCATCATAGTCCATCTACTGTTATTGCATGGCCCCAAAGGAACAGGTGGAGAGACCCTGTGTGTCTCTGATGACAGTCTTTGGCTCAAGGTAAGATCCGGCGTGTGAGGCTGACCATTCCCATGCCGCTGCTTTGGCATTACCCCTTGCTGTGTGTACCTTCTTGGAGTTTCACTGCCAGAGCCGTCATCAGACCTCAGCTGTCTCAGGAGCTCTGGGTGACATCTGCAAATACTGGGGCTGGAAGTGGTTCCCAGAGCGCCTGTAGCTGACTCCAGCACTGGTTTCCAGCTCTTTTAATGTGGTTTGCATGAACTGTAGCCAAAAACCTGGATCTAACGCCCTATTCAGGTCAACATCTTTGGTATGAAATTTGATGGACATGTTTCCATAAAACCTGACCTAAACAGCCTTATCATCCAAAAATAACCCAACTTTTTTTTAACATATAACCTAACTTTTAACTTGGGCTTTCCTGGTGGCTCAAATGGTAAAGAATCTGCCTGCAATGCGGGAGACCTGGGCTCGATCCCTGGGTTGGGAAGATTCCCTGGAGGGGGGCATGGCAACCCACTCCAGTGTTCTTGCCTGGAGAATCCCATGGACAGAGGAGCCTGGCGGAATGCAGTCCACGGGGTCACAAAGAGTCAGACATCGCTGAGCGACTAAGCACAGCACAGCACTTTTAACTTGTTTCTCTTGGCATTTAAGATTATGTAGGACCCACCAGAGCTAGAGCTTTTAACATGTTCATAAGGTTCAGGAAGCTCCCGGCTCTTTTTACAAGGAAAGTTTTACAAGTATAGTGAAGTTTTTGATGAAACTTCGCGAACTGATGCTATAACCTTCACCAATACATTAATAATATATCATTACATATAACATAATAACTATCATTACTATAATATAGTGTAATATAATAATATACTATAACAGTTACTCCATAAGAATTATTATATTACTATAAAATATATATGAAATACCATATATAAATTTATATGTAACTATTACATATTACTACAGTTGTGATTAAGTGCTTTTTGTACATTATCTAACTTACCCTGGGAGGTAATAATTTTTTACTCCCTTTGTGAAATATAGTTCAGAGAAATTAAATAACTTGGTCAAGGTCACATAACTAATTAGTTGCAGAGAGGAAACCAAAATCCAACCTCATTTGTTATTTTCTCTTATATCAAGGATATTGATATTCCTTCAGTATCTCTGAATCACGCTTTCCTTATCTGCAAAATGTAAGCACCGCAAATAAAAGGGGCTTCCCAGGTGGCGATAGTGGCAAAGAACACTTATGCCAATGCAGGAGACATAGAGACTCAGATTGGATCCCTGGGTCAAGAAGATCCCCTGGAGAAGGGCACAGCAACCCACTCCAGCATTCTTGTTCCAAAAATCCCATGGACAGAGAAGCCTGGCAGGTTGCCAAGAGTCAGACACAACTGAAGCGACTTAGCACACAGGCATGCAGATGAGAGCCCACCTTCCTGACCTGGGACTCAGAGCGTTTCCCTGTGAGAATTTCTAGACACACACTGAATGTTCAGTCCCAACAGTTGGCTCTGAATGCATTCAAGGGATACGACTTGTAAACAACATTTGTGTAAATTTAACCATACACTGTAAAAGCAGTTTACTAATAAAAGAATGCTCTTCTGAATGCTTTTGTAAAGCTTAAGTGAATACCACCCCCCCACACACACCATTAATCTACATTCTCCATTAGGAGACTTGAATGTATTGTTTTTTCAAATATCACATCTGTCTATCCTGCCTTGCCACACCCTCCTGCTCTGCCATCTGCTTTGTCTGGGAGTGTTCCCTGGGCTGGTTCTATGAGATGTGTTATGGGAATGAGGGGCAGGCTGTGAAGAGAAGAGCCTGGCTTAGGAGTTAGACAACTCTAGCTGCTCAGCTTAGCACAGTGAGCCTGTTTTCTGATCTTTAAAAAGATGGCATTTTTAAAAATAGGAAGGCCTTCTGGTTTCAGCTCTGATACGTAAAAAACTTGAAAGTTATCACTCGCTACAAGGGGAAAAGCTGAACAAGCTGAGTATCAGTGACTTTTCCTGGACCTATCAGAGAACTGAGGTCATGGGAAAAATTGTTGTTATCTAGTCGCTCAGTCGTATCCCACTCTTTGCGACCCCATGAACTGCATCATGCCAGGCTTCCCTGTCCACTATCTCTCGGAACTTGCTCAAACTCATGTCCATTGAATCGGTGATGCAATCCAACTACCTCTTCTTCTGTCGTCCCCTTCTCCTCCTGCCTTCAATCTTTCCCAGCATCAGGGTCTTTTCCAATGAGTCAGTTCTTCACATCAGGTGGCCAAAGTATTGGAGCTTCAGCTTCAGCATCAATCCTTCCAATGAATATTCAGGGTTGATTTCCTTTAGGATGGACTGGTTTGATCTCCTTGCAGTTCAGGGGACTCTCAAGAGTCTTCTCCAACACCACAGTTCAAACACATCAATTCTTCAGTGCTCAGCCTTATATCCAACTCACATCTATACATGACTACTGAAAAAATCATAGCTTTGACTATGATTATACAGACTTTCTTTGGCAAAGTAATGTCTCTTCTTTTTAATATGCTGTCTAGGTTTGTCATAACTTTTCTTCCAAGGAGCAAGCATCTTTTAATTTCATGGATGCAGTCACCATCTGCAGTGATTTTGGAGCCCCCCAAAATAAAATCTGTCCCTGTTTCCATTGTTTCCCAGGAAAAGTCATCACCCCTAAATCTGGAAAAACAGATGCATGTAGGGAATCATAACCAAGATCTGCTTATTGAGAACAGAAGCTGCCAGAGCCATAGACTGGAGGAAATGCTCAATGGATAACTTAGAAGAAATCCTGGGAGCAGAGTTTTGGCCAGTGTGAGAGCGAGACCTCCAGGGGCCACAGTCTTAGGGACCCCTCGTAT